TTACTTTATAAAACAAATTTTTATCAAATTTACATTTTTTTATCAGCCTTTTGTAGTGGTTTTAATGTAGTTTCTGAATATATTAATTTTATTTACTAAAACTAATCAGAGTGTGAACAGGGATTAAGTTGCTTTATCGTCAGTCAAGCATCGTAAACCGTTCACGGGAACCTTCTAGCGGGACGGAGGGAGTATCAATAAAAGTCTAGCATCTTTGACCGGAAAAGTCGAAGATACTAAGTAAAATTGGAGTGAGCGAATATTTTTTTCATAATTCAACAAATTAGTCAATTCACCTACTTCAGCCAAAATTTCATCTATGCCAGGATATTCAACTCATTTCAGCATTATCAAACACACTCTAAGGCTTGTAAAATTTGATCTATGTATATTTCATACTCCATCCATCTCATTAACTTAGTCAAGTTTGACTTGCACTTGGAATAATAAAATAAAAGCAGTGCGATTGGAATTGAGGGAAAAAGAAATAAATTTAACCCTTTAAATAGAGAGCGGCTTGATGTACACATTTTAGTGTACACCTTTCTTATATCCACTAGCTTTCAAGCCCGTGCGATGCACGGGGAGTATGTAATTTAGCTAATTTGAAATTTAATTTCTATCGGATCACATATAATGTGATTTAAAAGAAAAAATAAATTTAGTCTAGTATAGAGTCTGTTTGATAATACTAAAGTAAATAGAATTAACTTATTTTGCTGAAATTGATTGACTTCTGGTTAAATAGGTGGAATCTTCTGAATCATGAAAAATATATGTGAAATATATTCCATTTGTGAAACAAAGAAAAAAATATATGAAAAAGGGTTAAATTGGTCTGTTACATAAGCATCTCAAGTAAACATAATTGTTATGAACCCAATAATAAAAAAATCTATATTTATTAATTGTTAGATCTTACAGTTTACTCATTAATAAAAACGTTCTTAATTGAATTAAAATTTCGGGTTTGATTTGGTATGAATTAATATGGTCTATTAGATGTCTGTTTTTTATGTGACTTATTGTTATAATTATTAAAATTTGATTTGATCTGATTTAAGCTGGAACTGAAATCAATCCAATTAAAAACATTCTATTAAAATAAAAGTAGAAATTCGTAAACCTATAAAGATTTTCTAATTTGGATTAGGAATATATTTCAAAAGTGAAGGCATATTTAAATGTTAGATGTAAATTAAAGAAACAACCAATTTTTTTTACTTATTTGGCTAAACTAAATATATTTACTTGTGAAAATATATATACTTTATGTTGGTTATAATTTTTAATTTCCTTTTTAATTAGTTGCTTATTTGAAGCTTACTAATTTATTAATAGGTGTCAAATTAATAAGTAAACTAATTTGCATATTTGTTTCTATTTAATTCGGTGTAGTAAACTAATATAAATTAGTTTCCCTATCAATAAACGTTATTAGAATTTCACTTTGATAACCAAAAATTATTTTACTTATTTGAAGCTTACCAAATTAATTAAGGTGGGTTTATAAGGATTTTTGTTTCCATATCAATATGCAATCAAAAATAGAATCTAATAAAAACAAAAAGTATAAAAACAAGTAAATAATTGTTATATATAATGACATGGCAGGATTATGTGGCGCTTTGTATGCTCTTAAAAAGTTCATCTTTATATATATATATATATATATATATATAATGATTTGTCTCACACACACAAAGTTGTCTGTCCACAGACAACTCTACAGAATTGTATGTGGACAAATACTTCTATATGTATGAGAGAGACGAGTGTACGAAATGTGTACACAAAAAAGTGTAGACCAAACATTTTTCTTAAATAGAATGGATAAACTTTTTTAAGACAACTAATTAAAGAAACTTAGCAAAATTCTATCAGATAAGGACAATATTAGGATCTGATGGAGTATATGGTCCAGGGACCCCCGGTCCACATACTTCCACAACTGCAGTCAGGCCCAACAGACCCAAACAGGCCAAGCCCAGCAAAATGAAGCCCTAAGCAAGCCACAATACGCAAGGGGACGCCTTCGGCCCCATGGCCGAAGGCTACCGTTTACAGATTCAGGCTCAGAAACATCACAGGAGAACAAGGCTAAAAAATCGAGCCTTCAGCACTCGGAGCCCTCGGCACTATGAGGCCCCCGGTACGAGGAGCATTCAGATAAAGATCTACGGCCGAAGGCATCCTCCTCGACAGAATATCCTCTCCACATGCACTGGATCGTCGTACCAAGTACAAACGTCGCATCCAACCACCGCATTTAATGCGGCCACATGCGAGTGCCAGTGTCACCCCGGTTGAAGTGACCCATCGACCACCAGATTATTGACACGTGTCTCTATCTAGCATTTATTGTTGTTATAAATAGCAGCCCATTCCCCGTTGTAAAATCATCACAAATTCACATATCGAATATACACACACTCTCTCTCTCTTACTTGTTTGCTCTGACTTCTCTCTAGTTAATCTCCGCAATAACCCATTGGATAAGTTACCCTCGGGTACACTATCCATCAGGATCTATTGTAGTGAATTCAAAATAATCCAATAGGTAGTACTCCCTCTGTTCCTATTTTATCTTCCAAATAGGTTTGACACGCAATTTAAGATAGTGGATGTTGTGTGGTGGAGAGTTGTGCAGAGGAGAGAGAAATGTGTAAGAAATGTTGTGAACAACAAATTCTTTACTAAAGTTGAAAAGTGGAAGTTTTAATTAGAACGGACGAAAAAGAAAAGTTGGAAGTTTTAATAGGAAAGGAGAGAGTATAAAATAAACCTAGAGGGGTTATAATTCATTCATACTCATTTCATAGGGAGTACAATGCAAAAAATGGGTATTCCATGAGATCAAAGAACATGGATGCTTTTCCCCATCTGGCGTTTTCCAACTGCTGCACGAGGCAAGCAGCACACAGCCTAACGGTTCGTTTTTCCAGCTGTTTCGCATTCTCACCGACCGCACAACTTTAATGAACTACTCACCTCTCTTCACTTATTCAAAACAATCCAATATTATTATTTAATCATTGGTCTTCGATCCGGATCGGGATCCTCAGAGATGAGGTGTCATCTTTTTTTCTTATTTAATCATTAATCTAAAATAAAAATAAGAAAACCTAAAAAGAAAAGTGAAACAAAATGAGTACACGAAAATGAAGTTTTTATATTTGTATAAATGATTATGAGAAAAAGGAAAACATATCTTCATCCAAAAGGTTGAATGTCCAACCCCAAGGCCCCCACCCCAGGAAACATAGGGTTTAATATATCAAATCCCCCTGTGATATAGAAATTCGGCGCATTAGTCTCCAGTGATTTAAAAAATGCGTCAAACTTCCTTGTGTTTTAATTAATTATGCGCAAAATCCCTTCTATGAACAAATTCAATTAGCAAATATAAAAAAAATGATTAACATTTTTGTATGATTTAGAAATTTTGACATTTACTTGCATATTCAATCAGAATAGAAGGAAAAGTGATCTCAAAATCATTAAATTTAGTCATAGAAGGGATTCTGTGCATGATTAATTAAAACACAGAGGGGTTTGACGCATTTTTCAAATTACAAGGAGGTAATGCACTGAATTTCTATATCACGAGGGGGTTTGGTGCATTAAACCCAGGAAACATATCTTGAACTTGTGCATGCGAGCTCGTTCAAATTCTGTGTGGAATAATTGAACACAAATTTTTATGTTTAAATTTGGAACAAATACACATTTAAATTACATATGGGGCTTATTAACTACGGAGTATATTTAATGAAAACATGAATATTTGTTCCAACTTTCATTTTTTGCAAATGAAAGTTGAGTTATATAATTTTTTCTTTACAGTATTATTAATACTCGTAATTATTGCTTAATTAGACTTGTTGACATCATGTAAAATATACTTCCTACTTGATAATTTATTATAAAAATTAACTCACAGGTCAAATGGGGACGTTGGTTATTGAATTAAATTAAAGCAGTGTTGGAGAGTATTCATTGCTAATTTATGTCAACGGTATCACCATTTTAAAATGCATACCACCCAGTTTAAAATATTTGACCAAATTCAAAACTTTGATCAATTATATATATTTATTGAAAATAATTGTAATATAAAAATGAAATACTCCCTCCGTTCTCTAATACTTGGCCCTCTTTTAATTTTGGAATGTTTTCCGTTAGTTGTTTCTCTTTTCACTTTTGGTAAGTTTTTTCAATAAATATACTCATTTACCCTCATTCTCTTTCCTACTTTTACCTTTACACACAACTCACTACACCTTTTATCCTACTCCTATTAATTCCTTCTTAAATCTTATGAGAAAGGCTATACTCCCATCTATTAGAGAACGGAGGGAGTAGCTAGGGATGGACTCGGTTCGGGCCTTGAACCGGCCGGGCCTCGGTTCAAGGTATGGGAGGCCCGGAACCGGCCCGGGTAACCCCCGGGTCCGGGCCGAGCCGGGCCTCGGTTATATATATATTTTTTTTTGGGCTTTTCCTAGTTAACCCCCAACCCTCCCCCTCACCCCCAAACCAACCCTAACCACCTCAAATGACCCAAAATACCCAGCCCAACCCAAAAACTTAAAAAAAATCAAAAAAAAAATGGCTCAGCCCGGGCCCGAACCGGCCGGGCCGGTTCACCTTTTGGAGGGCCCGAGCCCGAACCAAGATCTCACCGGGCCGGGTGGCCGAACCGGCCAACCAACCGGTTCACCGGGCCGGGCCGGGCCCGCACAGTAGCGGGCCGGTCCGGTTCCGAGCCGGTTGGCCCGGCCCGAGTCCACCCCTAGGAGTAGCTAGTAATATTTACATTTTTCACATTATTCGGTCTTTCAACCTTCTTTTTTACGAAAATCTAAAAATTCAAGGGAGACGGTAATTCCTACATCCACGCACGCACCTAAGTTGAATCTAAAGATAGGAATAAAAAAATTTACTCTACGTTTTTATATGATAAATATTTATTAAACCATGAAAATCTATACTACGAATAACTTTTCATCCTATAATAAAAATCTAGACTACGAATAACTCTTCATCCTATAATAAAAATCTATACTACGAATAACTTTTCATCCTATAATAAAAATCTAGACAATATTTTTATGCGAAGTTTGGAAGCTACATAAACAAAATATTAACTTATTGTTATACAAAAGAATGTGCCGACAAAATCATAATATACGGACTAGTGAAGAGATTCACGGGCGTGGTAAAATACATGTCATGTCGGTGGAACGGGGAAGCACGCGGTTGCTCCGCCGATGGGCCCGCCGAGAATTTTCAAGAGTGGAGAACCGGATACTCCGGCCTAGAAATTGGCGATTTTCCGGTGAAATCTATACCTCGAGTTCATGCGTCCGTCAATCTCGCGGAGGTTTCTCAAGCTCCGAATCGCCAGAGCATCTGTTTTCTCTATCTCCAAAACTCCATGGAGATCGGCAATGCCCCCGGATTCTGCTTCAATAGCACCTAATCCAAAACTCTCAGAGCCTCAAAACGAAAACGATGGAAAAACATGTGAATTTCAAATTTGAAATCGGCACTATACCTTTAGGCTTCTGGAATGGCTTGAATCCATTAAACTGAGCTAAATCTGTTACATAAAAACATTCAAAATCCAGCAACCGTCCACAAACGAAATACAGAGAATCGTGTAGGGGGGAGGGGGTTACCATTCTCGGTAGGGCGGTGAGAGGAGAGGTAAAGGACGAGGAAGCAGAAGACGGTGAGGAGCGGGATGAGGTGGACGTACTTCTCGGCTTTGCTGACGCGCTTCAGCGACTTTCGCCCTTCGCCTTCGTCGTAGTTGGAATGGGATGACTCCGTTGCCGGCAGGGCGGCTTGAAAACCGTCGTCTCGCCCGCCGACGATGACTCCATGACCGTTGAGGTTCTTTGATCCCGGCGAACCCAGAGATTGCCTGTGCATTACTCTAGAGAGAGACAAAGAAGTAAATACGGTATGAGTAAGCTTTGATGATAGCCTGATATTATAAGGAGTAGCAGAGAACCCGTGTTTTGCCCACGGATAGACTTTGCGGTAGCTTACCAGGGGGCTTGGTAGCAATTCTTTTTGCGCCTTCCCTTTCATTTTTTTTGACAATGCAGATGTGGGGGCTTACGAACCCGACATCTTCATTGTCATTATCTCCCTTCTCAGCGAAGGTAGAAAGAATCATTGAGAGCAAGACCTACCTCATCTTCTCTTGGTGAGAATTGAACCTAAGACCTCTCCCAAAGGAGAGACTTGAGGGTGTATGGTCATCCATTGGACTACACCCACCTTCTCGCCTTCCCTTTCATAAAATCTTACTTACCTCTCCTTTCTCTATTCCCTTTTAATTGCAACAGTCAATATTTCACGTTTGTCAAGCACAAGTTTGATCATTAATATTTTTCATTCTTTATTAGTAAAAAATTTTAAAAACTCATATTTTGAAATTTTAGAATGAAAAAAATTTAACAATATTTTTTAAAAAGTTATTTTATAATACATTAATTAATAAAATATAATCAAAGTATAATATGTGAATAATGCAAAAAATCTTGTAATTAAAAGAAAATGGAGGTCATATTTATTTCTGTTGGTAGAAAATAACCCGAGTAGAGAATTCGGCAGCATTTCAGTATAGTGAGAATAGCTTAGGAGAATACAAAGGGTTGGTGGCCTATTTATAGCGTATACAACAGGCCCACCAATTAGATGTTACATGGGCTTGGCCCGATTTATCAATTAATACTAACGCTAATGGGCCAGTCAACCCGATAAGTAATTTGATAATCCCGGACCAGTATCTGCTAGGCGGACTGTGTTCTGAGCTTGGTCGGGCCAAAGCTCAGGTGTAACGGGCCAATATTCTTGGACCCGGCCCATTATCCCAACACAAGTCCCCCACTCTCTTACTCGAGTAGTAGACTCAGCTAAAATGGAGTAGTTAAGCTATTTTGGAATTGGTTCGGTCATTAACGAGCCTTGAATTTGATTTGGTTGCTTGTGTAAGGATGAAGTCTTCCTTGTTCTGACCGGGAGACCTCTTCCTTTGTTCACGATGACGAGGTGCCTCGTTAAAACCTTACTTGGAAAAAACCCAGTGGGAAAAAATCCCAGTGAAGGAAAAAGAGTACACCGGAGCCTTAAAATAAAGCAAAGGAAGGTCAATACCCTCGGTTCTTGATTGAGTGCCTGCTTTACTGGTAGGCCGAGATATGTTCCGAAAAGACCAGTCGTACGGTTGTTCGCCAGTGGTGTCGGTCGAGCGAAGGTATGCTTGGAGAAGGCGGGTCGTAGTTGTACACTGAGGATGGCGATCTGGGGTATCCTCGGGAGATGTTGTCCACCCAGCTGTCTGGTGATGATGGACAACCGAGCTATGATCTCGAAAGGTCGGATGCAATATTGTCCACATTGATCCCCACTTCTTACAAAAGGATAGGATTTCCTTCATCTGGGTAGCAGCCCGAGGTCTTGCTTATCCTATTAGGAGCCCGGGGTCTTGTTTGTCCGATTAGCAGCTCGGGGTCTTGTTTGTCTGATTAGCAGCCCGAGGTCTTGTTCAAAATCAAGCAAAAGGGTGAGCTCTCCTGCCACTGCATGCAGCTGCAACGATCGCCATCTGCTGAGGGGATGACAAAGACCGGTCTTGGGATGCGGGTAGCTCATCATGATCAGTAGTCCTAGTCATCAAATAAAGATGACTAAAGGAATGAGTCGAGCGATCGTCCATAATATGATGTCCGGTTCATCAAATAAAGATGACCAGGATATAAGGCCGATGGGTCGATATGAGTTCCACGTCATAAAATAAAGATGACAGGGCAATATTTTGCCGATGGGCCTGTATGAAAGCTCCACGTCATCAAATAAAGACGATGGGGCGATGTATGGCCGATGGGCCCGTAGATGAGCTTCTCATCATCAAATAAAGATGACAGAGCGATATATGACGCGTGTCTGGATATGAGGACGACGGCTTGATGAGCCGGTCTGATAAGGACGAGGCATTCGATGAAGCCTGCCTGCATATGAGGACGAGGCGGTGGACGTCTGTCTGAAATATGATGAAATGCTGAGCTGGTCGAGCAGCTAATCCTAGACTTAGAAAATAGTATGATCATTTCCTTGTCCGAGGATCGAGCCGTGGTCGACTAAACACCGAGAGCGGGGCGTTATAGTTTTTTTTCGCCGCCGCCCGTTCATTTTCAAGTGAGGTCGGACCTCATTAAATTCTAGATTGAAAACTTTTTTTTAAGTAATGAAAGAATTTGGGAACTTGAGGAGTTCCTCCGAGTTCTGCACTTCGTACTTGATCACAATCTTGGTATGCTCCGCTCATAGGATTTAACAAGGTGTCTTGCGCTCCGTACTTGATCTACAAGCTTGTCCGTCATGGTTTTCAACGCGTGAGATCAATCAGGAGCGATGCAGTGAACTTAGCCAATTGTCCCGGTCTCTTGAGATTGACCTGGATAACTATGCTTTCGGGTCTTCATGTAACAACTCTACGTTGCAAGGTCTGTACCCCCTCGTCAACGGTGCTCCCACCCTGCACTTGGAGCGAGGCGGAGATGGACTTTGGAGATGTTGACCCGCGTAGGGGGTCCTTCCAACCATGATGACGTGATGAGTTTTTCCTCGGTGTAGGATTGTGTGGGAAGCCCTTAACTTCCTTTGGATAAACTGGGACCGACTTGAGCTGACTCGTACGAGCTTGGCCAGCGTGAATTTCACCGGTATCATCTAAGACATGTACTCCGGGACAGGGATGTGCAACCAAGCCTCCTGGTGACGATCGGGACAGGGATGTGCAGCCGCCAGGACGGGCTCGTGCAAGGGTACCCAATTCGTCGGTTGTTGGTGCGAGTGTTCATTGTGGATGAAAACTCGCCCATGACGTGAATTCTTGTCATCTTCATCTTTAAGTGATCATGCTCATGGTGCACGGGGTGCACGGCGTATGAGCTCTCTGACGGGCAAAAGTACAACCATGGTCTCTCATGTACGTTAGTGAGTCGCAGCCGACCACCTGGGCCGTCAGAAGATCAGTGTCATCCTCATCTTCAACTGATCATGCTCATGGCGTACGGGTGCATGACGAACGAGCTCTCTGATGGGCAAGAGTACAACCGTGGTCTCTCATTCACGTCAGTGAGTCGCAGCCGACCACCTGGGCCGTCAGAAGGTCAGTGACATCTTCCTCTTCAACTGATCATGCTCGACCACTCGGGGTAAAGGGGTACCAGATCTGCCGGTTTGAGCTGCGGGTATTCTTCGATGCCTCTTAGTTGTGGCCAAATGCTCACGTCGCCGGGTTGGACTTTTACGACCACGCATCCAGGTGACGACCGTGCGGCCGTATCCCCGTGGCGGGTTCGTGCAACCAAACTTCTGGGCGTGACGTTCCGTCCACCTTGCCAGATTGAGCTCGTGCAGGGGTACCCGATCTGCCGGTTGCCGTTGCGGGTGTTCTACGAAGCCTCTTGGTGGTGGCCGAATGCTCACGTCGCCGAGTTAGGCGTAAACGACCACGCATCCAGGTGAGGACCGTGCGATCGTCTCGCCATGGCGGGTTTGTGCAACCAAGCTTCTGGGCGTGACATTCCGTCCACCTTGCCAGGTTGAGCTCGTGCAGGGGTACCCGATCTGGCGGTTGCCGCTGCGGGTGTTCTACGAAGCCTCTTGGTGGTGTTCGAATGCTCACGTCGCCGAGTTAGGCGTATACGACCACGCATCCAGGTGACGACCGTGCGGCGGTCGTCTCGCCATAGCGGGTTCGTGCAATCAAACTTCTGGGCCGTGACATTCCGTCCACCTTGCCAGGTTGAGCTCGTGTTGGGTGCATAGGGGCGCACGGGCGCAGAGCATACGGGCGTACACGGTGATAGCTACAACGTGCACAATCCTCACATGCTACGCGACCGTGACTTGTCGGCGTCGATGAGTACCCTGCAATTTTAGAAAATTTTAACAAAAATGAGAAATTTTAAATTTTAATGTTTGATACGCGACGTTGATGATTGCCCCGATTAAAATGCAATGCTCAGTTACCCTTGATTTAGTAACTTGAAGGTGTGGTGGAACTAATTTTGTATTTGGCCCCACAATTTTGACTAGGTCAAAATTAAGAATATTACTGGAGCAAGAGAAGTCCCTGCCAGAGAAAAGTTGGAGCCCCAGAAGAGAAGGAACTATTTCTGGCTGAAGCTTCGCTGGATCTGCCAGAAGAGAGGGAACCGTCCGGAACTGAGCCGCCAGCGCTGCGACAAAATTTTATTTTTCTTTATTATTTTATTATTTTTTTATTATTTTATTATTTTTTTATTATTTTTTTCGATTTTAAATATTTTTTATTATTTTATTTTTCTTTATTATGAATTCAAACATTTCATTATGAGTTAATATCCTTAAGGGTATTTAGGGTAGAAAATCAATGTTTAGTCCTATTTTTGGAATTTTAAAAGTAGTAGTCCTATTTGTGCTTTGTAGGGACGCATTAGTTTTATTTAGGACAGTAACTATTGATATTTGTATAGAACGAGGAAAAATTAATTTAATCACATACAAAGTATTTACTTCCTCTGTTTCCTTATAATTGTCCCGTTTTTTCATTTTTTAATGTCCCTCTATTATTGTCTCGTACTATTTTTTGTAACATTTGTGTGACTCTAATTCATATTCTTACTTTATCCCCACTTTATCAACTCATTATCAACCATATAATTATACTTTTCTTAACAACCACATCACTCTCTTCCGTTCCAGTTTTAGGGGCGGAGGTAGTATTACTTTAAATGAAAATTACAAAAGTTTATGAAATACCTAAAAAACGGATTTTCGCCGGGTTTTATGAAACGGAACGAGTATAAAACTAAGAAAAATGTAGTAAATAATAACGAGCTCATTCATATTATGAGCTCATTCTTTTTTCGGCTTATCAGCATCGTTAGTCATTTTTTCTATGGGTGAGCGTGGTCTGGAACTGTCGAGTAAATTAGTAAAACCCGTAATGTAACGGTGAGGTTTCTAATGGTCCGGTTCTAAGGATGGAACCATGTAGTATCATGTCATTTCAGAACGGTACAAAGTAGTATGGTATAATGCCAAACACATGCTAAATTTTTTGGACGAATCTTACAATTAGTAGATATCATTACACCAACCAACCCACATGAAACGTTGATAAAAATACAAAAATTGCATACGTAGTATTGAAGCTCACAAATACTCAAATAGTGCAACATAACTAAGAAAAAGTAAGCAAAATGATGACACATTAGATAAATATCATCTTTAATTTACTATGTTTATATGAAAATGTAAACAAAATGCCTTCTGGTTATTGAATATAATAGAAAAATTCAACTTTTTTCTTCTTTGTTCTAAGTTAAATATTAGTTCTAATTTAATTTATAGTTGAACCGTGAAAGCTAAAATTTAAACCAAATTAATTAAGTTGTAAAATTGTTCAAACTCGATACAACAAAAAGTCATTACACTACATTACTAGAATTCTAGAAATTAATATTCATTAATGAGTTTTGAAACTTTAGCATTCTTTCAACAATACATACCAAAATATAACATACTACGTATATTATTTAAAAAGAAACAATCACAATATATATAAACACACACATTTAGCTATTTTAGGAACGAATGAATATATACTTGAGCTATAAAATTGTTGATTTATAAAAGAGATTTATTGGTATGATATGGAAGAAATGTAAAAATCTCAAATGCATTATTTTTGAACGGTCAGGTCAGATATTATTCAGTTCTCAAAATCTAGAACCAGTCACGAACTTATATTAAACGGTACAGTTTCATTTCGGGAGAAATATTTACAGAACCGTTTAAATACTCGGTCCTCGGTTCGGTACAATTCTGAGTTGGATTAGTACCCATTTGGTTCGGGTTTATGTCTACCCCTAATTTTTCCCACTAAACTCATAATGATTTCGGGATTGTGTGATAATTAAAACAAGCAAGATTACTTTTGTCAGAATTTCATAAGTGTCAGCAAAATCAATCAATCTAGCCAATTTAAGGTTATAAAACTAGCTAATGTATGTTGTTTTAGTTTCACATAAATTAGTCGAAAAATAAATACTCCCTCCGTCCCTAAATTATCTTCAAACTTTCCTTTTTCGTCCGTCCCAAAATTATCTCCTCTTCCCCCTTTTAGCAAAAAATTTGTGGTTCACAACCATTCTTACACATTCTTACACATTTATCTCTCCTCTGCACAACTCTCCACCACACAAATCCCACTATCTTAATAAATGTGCCCAGCCGAAAAGAGAGAAAGATTAGGGACGGAGGGAGTATTGTAATTCAATCTAAACAGAATAATGTGAAATAACATCAAAGTATAATTAAGAACGGTTTTTATGTATGTGGTGCATTCTGGGAAAGCTTAAGACATATAAAATCGGAAGAGAAAATGACACCAATATTACTAATGAGTTTGTGTTGTACAAATATATGACCAGGTTTAAAATTGACAAAAAAGTGACTATAATATAACACTCCCGTAATAATGAAAGACACATTCCTCATATACCCTGTCCCTTCGATCTGCTTTCCCGACGGACAACCAGGAGGCTTCAGTCCTAAATCCCTAATCATTCTGTCGCCGATCAACAACGAGCAATTGCTGCCTACTACCACGAATCCCGTCGAAGCCGCTGCCTCCAACCGAGCACCAGATGTCGCTGTTGCCGTCATCCTTCCGCTGCTGCCTCCTAGTGCTCACCAGACGCCGCCGTTGTCGCGCATCGTCCTTCCGCCGCCGCCTTACTACAACGAATCTCACCGTCGTCCTGTAGATGTCCCTCTCCGCCGTCACTGCATCTCATCTCCTTCTCTTTTCTGGTTTCCTGTAAACCATTATCACTTGATTTTTGCTAAATACAGATCTGGAAATTGAAATTATGAGTAAGTTTTTTGTTAATTGGGTTTAGCCGATTGAGTTTAATTTGCTATTGAGATTGCCAACGGTGGAGGATTGGTGCAAAGGTCGGCGTCCATGTGAGACTTGAAGGAAGCTAGCCAGACTTGGATGAGGATCGATGTTGCTGATGGAGGCTACTGGGACAATTACCAGGTTTCTAGAGTAGTGGAGGTGTATGGTGGTGCAATGGTGGTGTGAGGTGGGGGCAGAGGCGTTGCGGTGGTTGGGGAGGCGGGACAAGGGTGGACCAAGCGGGCAAGCGGGTATTGTGGAAGGTCGGCGGGATATGTACTAACTGCGGGGCAGCAGTAGAGGCTGCGGAGCTGGCTGTGCAAGACTGCGATATTGGCGGTGGGGATGATGATTTTGGGCGGAGATGTTGGAAATTAGGCGGGTGTAGTGTAACTGATCAGTGGCCGTGACGGTGGACACTGTTAAAAATTTTGTCACCAGCCGTTGTCACTGTAACTCTTTAATCGGGACGGTGGTCACGGGAGTGATAATCATTAGGACGGTCAACGGTGGCAACGGGAGGAGTAACTGGGACGGTGGTCACCGGAGGCCGGTAGTAACCAGGATGGTGTCACTAGAGTGTTAGTAATTAAGACGGTGTCACTCGAGTGGTAGTAACTGAGACGGTGTCACTGAAGCGGTAGTAACTAAAACGGTGTCACTAGAGTGGTAGTAACTGAGACGGTGTCACTGAAGCGGTAGTAGTAACTGAGACGATGATCATTCAGACTGGTGTCACACAATTTTCATATCCAGACTACTATCTTCAAAAATAAAATTAAAATAAAAAACATTAATTTTTATGGACTTATTATAGAGTTCATGGTTATGGATTGTATTGAAAATTTGAAATAATATTAAATTAAAGAAGCGTTAATTGTGATAGGATGTGTTGTTAAGCATCTCGTGCGCACTAGAATTAATATACTCCGTTTCCGTGCTTAGTAGTATGTATTAAGATCATTCTAAAGGTCGTTGCCGTGCTTTAGTTAAGTGCTAAGAGACTATTTCCAATTTTATTAGCCGCTAAGTCACTTTTTTGACTTTTCATAGTTACACTCATTTTTATGGAATTGGGCCTTCTAATAGTAATATTAGTGTCCTTTCCCCAAATCGGAATTATTTGGTGTTAATAAAAAAAATCTAATTTGGGAATTAATTTCAATAAATAATTAAATATTCTCCTAGTTTTTTTATATAGAAGAAAAGCATATCATCAATTAATCCATCAGTGCCCAACCGTGTCGCTGTCCACCGCCAACGTCACCATCCTTCCGTCATCGTTGCCAATGTTAGACTAAAAAATCAAACACTATATAAGATTTTAGGCTACCTCTCTTATTAGGTTTATTTGTAATTTTAGGATGAAACTTCACGTTTTAACATTCAAAATATAATAAAAGTATGACACATTTAGTATATTCATCGGTTAAAAATGGGTGCCCCTGTAATAATACTTCTAAAAGAATACTTGTGGCTAAAACAATTTATAAAATTTCTTTAAATATTCAAATGCTTATTGATTTCCATCATTTGCAATGGAGCCAAAGATTCATTACTTTTTGGCTTTAGATTATGATGAAATAAAGAAAAATGTCTCACTAAACTGTCTGCGCTTCTTTGTTATGAAGAAGTAGTCGGTCCATGCAATTTTGGACACGATTTTCACTATGGGTCATCCGGAAACAGTCTCTCAGTGCTTTAGTACAAGGGTAAGAGTGTCACACTGCGTACATCAGACCCCCCTTACCACACCGTAGTTGGGAGCCTTTGCGGCACTGGGGTAAATGAAAATGAAATGAAAATGAAATTCCAATGCTTATTGATGTGAGTGAATTTTTCATGTAGGTTAAATTTTAGATTATTTTATGAGATTTTAAACATATCAAATTTAAAATTTTAGTATCTTTCGGCTTAAAGCTATTACGAACTTGTCTGGTGACTGATATTTTCAACTTATGAGTCTTATAAGGGAGTCTTATCAAAAGATTTTGCATATCAAATTATACATTAATCAACGTAATTGAGTTTGAAGTCATTTTTGTGATTGAATTGGTTGAAATTATCGTAGAAGAACATTGTAGCTTTTTTCATAAGATTTTTTTCTTTATTTATCATTAAAAAATAATTTAAATATAATGTTTCCGCAAACAAGCAAATTAGTGAAATCGATCAGTTACTCGATTCAACTAAAATTTCATCAATGTCAATAGATTCAAACATATTTAACAAATTCCAATGTTATCAAATACCACGTAGGTACTAGAAATACAATACTCCATATAGAATCTGTCATATTAAATGATTCAAAGTTACTGGCCAAAGCGTTTGATCCGGTCCAATTAGGAAATCACATGCCCAACTCTCTGCCGCTCATCTCTCAGCCGTCTGACGGTTGTACGCTATAGTGCTCTCTCCGTTTCCGGCTCCTCTTCTGACGCATATCTACACCACGCCGTTCGTCCTGAGGTTTGTCGATTATTACTGATTGTGTTCTTATTTTATCTTATTAGCAGTGAATAGATCAAGTAAGGATGTTGAGCTTCGATCTTTATCTGTTCTTTCATTTAAACCATGAATAATTTTCTAAATAAAGGAGTTGTAATAAGCTGTAATTTAATGAAACCAATATGCTGGCAGTGTTGCCTTCCTACGGAGGAGAGCCAAAATACACGTAGTATATTTTAATATACTATGTATACTTTTGCGTAAAAACTGAGTGTTTAAAGGGCAGAAACTAGTGTAATTGAACATGTGAGACATACACAACATGCAATTCTGAGAAACCGTCTCAAATACGCAATATGTTTCAAACCTTGCTAAGAATTAGTGTAAATTGAAAAAATGTGTTCTTCTCATTAATAAGATCATCTACTTCTTCTTCTTATAAGTTAGCTGAAACAGGAATGTACTTACTTAGTCACTTGTCTATGGTGGGATTTTTTTTCCCAATCACCATGCCCTTGATATTAGTTCTCTCCATGTCCAAGTCAGACTCAGTATCATATTTGTTCAATATATAGTCTATATTACTTTAGACCGTAGTGGAGAGGAAAACTTTATATTTCGAATTGCTCCACTCTATTTCCTTTTTCTTCATTGATCATAAAACTATAGAAGTAGTATTTTCATCTGATTAATAAGATCAATCTTGTAGGGCTTAGTGCTTGAAATTGTCAAGGTATGTATATATAATATATGCAACTAAAACACTAAAAGAAACTTATTGGTAAGATAATGTAGCAATGGTATTCAGTAATTAAAATATGATTAGAACAAGGAGAGAGTTTAAGAAAATCCTCAATGGAGAAGTTACGTTGTTTGCGAGTATCATAGGTTACTTGATAAGTACTTGGTACAATTTTTTGTCATGATAGATAAGATTTTAAGCTATCAAATCTGGAATGGGATTTTAAGGGAAATTTAAACTTTGGTTTCTGTAGCATTGTTCTAATGGCATCTCTATGTGATGCTTGGGCATTCACACGATGGAGAACTCTCACTACAGTCAGTCGCGAGTGCTGGATATTGTATGTTGTCACGTAGTCCTTAATAGCAGCAACCAGAATACTATGGACACTTAAACTAACCACTGTATCTATTATACTCTCAATGTTATACATTTTACATTAATCTGATATTCTAATGAGACATATTGCAGGTCTGTTTCAACCGAATGAGTGCGTCAAAAGAGATGGCGAGAGCTTCAAAGAGGAAGATAATGAATGCTTCACTTCTTTCTTTTTTTCCGGAGGAAATTCTTCTCGAAATTCTTACCAAGCTTCCCGTTAAATCTCTACTACAGCTCAAATGTGTTTGCAAATCAGCTTATTCACTGTTTACTGATCCTTTTTTCACTGAGCTGCACCACAATATGTGTTCAACCCTTCCGGGTAAGACGAGCATTCTCATGTATTTTCCAACTCGCACAAGCATGACACGTCATGTGTATTACACTATAAATATGAGTGAAGGAAGCCAAGGAAAGCTCCGTTCTTGCTATGTTTCGTACTTGGAAAGGAAGCTGTTTCGTAAACATCATTTACGGTCCTCTGCTAATGGCTTAGTTTGTCTATATAGAAACCCCCATGATGTAATTGTTTGCAACCTTTCTACTAGACAACATATATCACTTCCGGAAGCACATGAAGTGCATGGATCAAAATCTCCGAAATCAGGTTGTGCATTATTAGGTTTTGATCTGGTTTCAAAAACATTTAAAGTTTTAAAGTCAGTGCAATATCTGGATTCCCATGATGTGCAGAAGCATTGGGTTTTTACTTTGGGCGTGGATAAGTCATGGAGGGAGATTAATATTGATTCGTATTTCCCACACTGCTCTTTTGACTCCTTCTATTCCCACTCTAGTAGTGTTTATGTTGAGGAGGTTATCTACTCACTAAATTGGCATAGAGGAAATATTGATGATTTTCCAAGGTGTGATGATATTGCAGCATTTGATGTTAGGACTGAAAATTTGAGCATGATATCTTTCCCCATTGGATTGCCAAGACATGACTTTTACTCGTCAGACGTCTTCTCAAGATCAGGATTGGTTGGACTGGAGGGTCGATTAGCTATCATTCAGGTTTGTCCAAATAGTGACTACAAGATGGAAGTATGGATTTTGAAAAACTGTATGCAATGGGAGAACAAGCGGACGATTCCCATCCCATTGGAAGGGAGAAAGCTACTCGACCGAGCTGTTTTGTTACGTTTTGCTTCAACCCATGCTGGGGAAATTGTGTTGGTGACTTTAGGGAGGAAATCAATTTTTGTTTTAATTTATGGATTAAGAATGCAGGTTTGGAGAATGTTTAAAGTACGTGGACGTTTCCCAACTGATAATGAGGCATGGAAAAATGTCATGCACATCATTCCGGAGAATATCTTTTCCCTCATATAATCCCATTCTTTGTTCCTTCCATTAATAATATTTTTATTTTAATGTCCATGATTTGAATTTGTGATTTTGAGGCAAGTGTAATAAATATTGTTCGTTTTTTGTGTTTTTGTTTTGTTTTCTGAATATTGTACACTTTTTTCTTCAAACATTTTATTATTTATACAAACAATTTCACCTACTTTTTGTCATTGCACTAACAATATTATGTAAAATGACCTAATTACTTGAGTAATTAAGGGGGTGTTTGGAACTGATTTTGCTTCTGCTTCTTTTTTTAAAATTGAACAATAATGCTATTTGCAGACATAGAGCCCGTTTGGTAACATGAAAATCAGCTGATTGGCTGAAGTGGTTGAAATTTATGAAGTTCTGGCTGAAGTGGCTGCATTGGATGATTTTGCTGATTTAAGAAAAAAATATTTTTAATATATATTTTATTAATAAAATAAAGAAAAAATTATATGTAAAAATAGCTAAAATGGTCATCCACAGTAACTTCAGTCAATACAGCCAGAAAAGTAACTCTAATCTTACTTTTTCTACTTATTACAAAATTCAGCGCGCGAGAACAAAAATTACGTGTTTGGTGAAAAAGTTGACTGATAAATCTGATAAATCAAAAATCAGTGTTGCCAAACGGCCTCATAGTGTACACACTTTCCACACCATATATAAACCATCCACTTTTTTACCCTTCCCCCCTCCCCCCTCCCATTCAAAAACCTCCTACTTCTTTTTCCCCCATTTTCATCACATTCACCATCACTCGATCTTCACCATCTTCATCATCTTCTACCTGCATCTATCTCACTCCATATTCATTATCTTTCGTCTTCATCATCTTCCACATCTATCACCTCATCATCTTTATCATTATCATCTTTTATGGTTGGTTGAAAAAAAGTTTGAGATTCGTCAGAAATTAGCCACCGATAAATTATAAAGGAACATTCACCGAAAAATTTGTCTGTGTACACACACATTGTTTTTTTTATGTCTGTGTACATAGACAAAATTGTTAAGCGCACACAAAATGTAGTCTGTGTAAAGATGTTTGTGCACATATATTGATTTGCTAAATGATGGTATCATGTACTTATTTAAGTCTGGTTTGGTGTAATTTGATGGGAACTGTGGACGTATCTCACTCCGTAGGAAGTGGTGCTACAAGGGAGATGTCTCAGGTTCAATTCCAAGCAAAGACTTAGAATGTAACTCCACTCTCTTTCTATCGGTGTGTGATCAAAGTCCAACTTAGTATCCTCCCAAATAATTAGCCAGGTCGTGGCTCATGGGTCCTATATCCCATCATTTATCATCATAGATTATTGTGGAAATGACTCCAATATACAAAGAGAGAACTTTTTACCCACCATGTCAAGAATCACTTCATACCAGTATTTACATTGTTTAAAAAATTACAAAGTATTACCTAAGCCATTGAAATTGCAAATTTATACTACCATTTCCCCCAATCTTCAGTTCAAGAGATATAAAAGAACCTTCACGCACACCTCATCATCTTCAACTTTCCCGACCCTTCAAAATACCTCTAGAAGAAGATAATAATGTGCATTGTGGCCATGTCCAGAGCATTACAAGTGATGAAGAGTCCTAAAATCACAATCCTCAACTATTTGTTTTTATCTAAGATAGACATTTTCCCCTTCACCTTGATTTCCATTGTTTTTGTTTTGGGTTGTGGTCACTATTGAATTACTAGTGGTGTGATTTATATTGACTATGGCTAATGCATGGTTCGTTTCGAGACACCTCTACTATGACCATCACAGCTAAGTTATTAATTTAGCTGTATTGTGGTTTGCCTTATTTGTCAAGGCAAAATAAGGTTTTCATGTTGCGGAGTTATCTTATGTTTTCTTCTACTAATGATGATGTCGGGTTTGTTGTTCCTTGCAGTTGAAAAAGTCTAGTAAGATTTTTCCTTGAGTTAACTAGTTAAGTTTCTTAGTAAGTTTTATTAAAGTGGTAACTAATGTAACACATAAGTTTTCGGGTTTGTACCCCTTTCCCAGATTAGTTTGGACTGTTTTTCAAGAAGGTTTTTAATTTGGCATTTCATAAGGTTGGAGGAGAACTGGAGAAGTAATGTGAAATAAATACGAAGTAGTATGTTTTTAAGAAAAAAATATCAATTAGGGTATCTTGTGTATTGATGTAAGACCCTTTAGCTCATAAAAGAAGTATTACTGGATTATGGAATGAGAATATGGCCTCTTAACAAAAAAAGTTGGAGAGCGATTTCCTTACAGGAAGAATGGAGTATTTCTTATTTTCTTGTTCAGCTTGTCTTGAAGGTTGAAATTTCACCCTAAATAAAGTTTTAATAGAACTAAAATCAAAAGTTCAAAACTGCATATAATTCAAGTATTTAATATAAACCAGATTTATTGAACTTATAACTGGAATTCTGGAAATAAACAAACAATGTACTGCACGTGTGCACTAATATAGCAGCGAGCTTCCTTCCCTAAGGAGCACAAATAGCCCACCATCACCTCTGGAGATCCGCAAATCCTTATCAAGGTATGTAGTAAGTAGCCAGGAGTTTGTCCCGTAGCCAGGAATGGGTACCTTTAGAGGGGGTTGGCCAGAAATTTTGAGGGCTATACTAGCGACTGCATTTTCGAGAGGACTCAGAGATCGTTGGATAGGGCTCAAATTTATATTCTGCCCAAACACATCTACATTCTCGGGCAAATTGATTCGTGACTTGATCTCTGGAGGTCTAAAGCTGCCTTCCTTAAATTCAACCTGCCCAAGTTACTTTGTTAAATGAAGGTAAACTATAGTAGTGGACTGATAGCAGAAATCCATGTTTATCCAAAACGCTTCACAAGTTTAACATTGTTCTCTAAAAGCATTCCTTAAGCTCATATACCATTTATCCATCCATATATATATATATATATATATCAGTTATAGAACCGACTGCATGAAAATCGCCAGTTTGGTACCCTACAATTTTGGCTAATCAGTTCCACAAAAACACCAACTTATTTGACTGTAACATCTGAATCGACGGATAACAAATGATAATGATGATGATGATGGTAACCCTTTCTTCTTTTTTGCCAAGACAAGATAATCAAATACCTCAAATGAAGTCATGAAGACAAATGACAATTCTAACCTCATCTTTTTATTTGCATTAATATTTAAATACATGTCCAATAAAGAGTTTTTGAATAATTCAGTTCAATGAACTCATAAAGTCATTTTGAAATCCTGCCCATTTGGGGTATGCCAATTTACAGCCAAATATATATCTCTACTAAAGGAGCTCATAATAGTAAATACCTCCAAGGTTCAAACTCAAGGACTCCATAATTTCATATCATACTTGGAAAGCATACCTGTATTCTTGAGGGAGTTCTAACCACATAGTTTGCAATAGCGCTGAATGAAAACATCGCAACAGGGGTAGACAATGTTGTCAAGTTTTCTATCGTAAGGCTGCTAGTATCAATCGACTGACAAATCTTTTCAACTTTAATAGATGGAATGTTGCCCAGCGCAAGAAGTGGTAATAGCTCAGAAAACGCCGTAAACCTAACACATGTCATAAAAGTGGATAAAATGCTGCATAGAGTCTAGATAGCTTATAAATTAAATTTCTAAAAAATTATGAGTCAGGCTTAAACTTCGCCAGATCATTTTTTTGGTATCATGCCTGTCCCAAGCCAGGATAAAGGAGGAGGGTGCTGTGGTAGGCGCGTGACGGCCAACCGTATCACTTAATCACATCCCATGACATGAATCGAAATATGAATATCACTACAGCTAGGTCGTCGCCCGTAAGCGACGTGTCATCCCTCCGCCTGGGGTGGTGTCAAATGAGCAAGGGCGCACTACACTTCATAGGCCTGAGTGTGGCGATAAGAATGCTAAGGCTGCTAGGTCGTCGCCCGGAAGCGACGCGCCACTCCAATGCCCGAGGATGGTGTTAAATATGCAAGGGCATGGTGGGGGTCGATGTGGGGTGAAGAAGAGAATGCAGGGTGTTAGATTGCGCTTTGGGACATGGAATGTTGGCTATCTTACGGGAAGATCATCTGAGATAGCCGAGGTTATGAAGAGGATGAATATCAGCATAATGTGCATGCAAGAAACTAAGTGGGTTGGAGAAAAGGCACGCGAGATTAATACCGGAGGTTTTAAGCTTTGGTACTCGGGGAGAGAGAGGAACAGAAATTGAGTAGGCATTATGGTGGCACATGATTATGTTGACGGTGTGGTTGAAGTGTTTAGGAAGAACGATCACATCATGAGCATTAAGTTGATAATAGGGGATGAGATCGTGCCCGTGGTTAGTGCCTATGCACCACAAGTGGGATTGGATGCATCTATCACTCAACAATTTTGGGAGGATCTTGAGGAAGTGGTGCGTCGAGTGCCAAGGGGAGAGAAACTGGTCATAGGAGGCGACCTCAACGGGCATGTGGGCCCAAGTCGTGATGGTTTTGAGAGTGTCCATGGCGGACATGGTTTTGACACCAGAAATGAAGCGGGGAAGAACATTCAGGATTTTGCCTCGACATATGAGTTGGTTGAGATGAACACTTGGTTCAAGAAAAGAGACTCTCACCTTGTCACCTATAGAAGTGGAGCTAATAGTACCCAAATTGACTACTTTTTAGTACGGACGACTTGGAGAACTAGCTACACTGATTGTAAGGTTATCCCAGGTGAGAGTGTTGTCACTCAACATATGATGCTTGTGCTGGATTTTCGAGGTAAAAAGAGGAGACGAGTTAAGGTACAAAGAGAGCCAAAGATAAAATGGTGGAGGCTCGAGGGGAATCTTCAACAAAGTTTTGCACACAAAATGTTGGAGGAAGATGTTTGGTCTATTGATAATGACGCACACGTGGATGTTGTGTGGTTATCAATGGAGTCCACCATTAACAAAGTGGCGAAGGAGATACTCGGAGAATCTAAAGGATGTCTGCCACCAAAAAAGGACACATCTTGGTGGAATGATGAGGTGGAACAAGCAATAAGGGCCAAAAGAGAATGATATAAGAAATTGGGCAAAAGTTGGAGCGACGAGAACATAGAGGAGTACAAAGAGGCTAGAAGACGAACAAAGAAAGCTGTGAAGGAAGCCAAAGAAAAAGTGAATAAGGAATTGTATGTAAAGTTGGACTCTAAGGAAGGAGAAAAAGATATCTACAGACTTGCTTGCCTTCGTGACCATAGGACTCAAGATATCGGAAAAGTTAAGTGTGTGAAGGATGTCGATCAAAGGGTACTAATGGATGACGAAGAAATAAAAGAGAGGTGGAGATCATACTTTGATACCTTGTTCAACGGGAATAAGTCCAAGGTATTCATGATCTTACTATACCAGAGTGTGATAAATAGGGACTTCGAGAGAAGGATTAAAACAACAGAAGTTAAAGAGGCTATGAGAAAAATGGGCCAGAAGAAAGCAGTGGACCCAGTGGGCCCAGATGGCATACCAATCGAGGCTTGGAGATGTTTGGGAGAGAAAGGCATCGAGTGGCTAACACGTTTCTTCAACATGATTTGAAGAAACAACAAAATGCCGGTGAGTTGGCGGAAGAGTACTCTCATTCCCTTATTTAAAAATAAGGGTGATGTACAAGAATGTGCTAACTATCGAGGGATTAAGCTTATGAGTCACACCATGAAACTTTGGGAGCGAGTGGTTGAGCAAAGACTTCGTAAAACTGTGAAAATTTCGGAGAATCAATTTGGTTTTATGCCTGGACGCTCAACAACTGAGTCCATTCACCTTCTTAGACAAGTTGTGGAGAAGTATAGAGACACTAAAAAGGATCTTCATTTGGTGTTCATTGACTTAGAAAGGGCATATGATAGGGTACCTCGAGAAGTTCTTTGGTGGGCCTTAACTAGAAAAGGCATATCACGTAAGTATATCAACATCATCATGGATATGTATGATGCTTGTACTACAAGTGTCTGCACTAGTGTAGGGAGGACTGCAGAGTTCCCTATTACTATCGGAGTGCACCAAGGATGTGCTCTGAGTCCTTTCTTATTTGTTTTAGTCATGGATGAACTTACGAAGTCAATTCAAGAAGATATACCGTGGTGCATGATGTTTGCCGGCGATATTGTATTGATTGATGAGACACAATCCGGTGTTAAAACAAAGTTGGAAGTATGGCGACAAACATTGGAGAGCAAGGGTTTCAGACTGAGTCAAAGTAAGACTGAGTATATGGAGTTCAAGTTCGGTGGAGGTAGAAGCAGTAACAACAGTGGGATTACTCTTGATGGTAAGGGGATACTGGTGTGTGATATGTTCCGTTACTTGGGATCCATAATTCAGAAGGATGGTGAATTAGATGGAGATGTATGTCATAGAATCAGAGCTAGGTGGATGAAATGGAAAAGTGCTTCAAGATTTGTATGCGATCGAGGTATGCCGACTAGACTGAACGGTAAATTTTATCGTACAGCAATTAAGTCGGCATTAATGTATGGCGTAGAGTGTTGGGCGGTGAAGCAATGCCACATTCAAAAGATGAGTGTGACAGAGATGCGAATGTTGCGTTGGATGTGTGAACATACCAGAAAAGACCGCTTGAGGAATGAGGTAATCAGACAAAAGGTGGGAGTAGCACCTATAGAAGATTAGATGCGGGAGTCTCGTTTGAAGTGGTTTGGGCATGTGCATAGAAGACCGAATGATGCACCTGTTAGACGACTTGAGGGGTGGGGAGAAGAGTCGGAGAAGAGAGGGAGGGGAAGACCCAAACAGACTTGGATTAGAGTAATCAGAACTGCTATGCGTCGTCTTGGGTTGGATGAGAGTATGACTTTGGAGAGAGCAAAGTGGAGGGCGCACATCCATGTGGACGATTGATGTCTTGTCTACCTTTCCTCTTTTGTTTCTTTTATCGTTTATCTTCCTTCTCTTTTTATATTCTTATGTTATTTTTATCTTCTAACTTTTTTATACTCTTTTATTTTTTATCTTTTATCTTTGTTATATTCTAATGTTATTGTTATCTTATTTTTATTTATCTTTATTTTATTCATTTTATCTTACTTTTTTTCCTTTTCTGGTCCGCCTTCTCTTTTTGGCATCAATATCATAGATCGATTCATGTTAGCCGATCCCAAATTCTTTTGGGATTAAGGCTTGGATGTTGTTGTTGTATGAGTCAGGCTTATGAATCAATATTTACATATAAAATAATAACCAATTAGTGACAAACTGATAACCGGTTATCACTAGCTCTACTCAGCCTTGGACCAAGTAGCTACCAATTACTTGGGAGTAATGGGTTATCACTTAGCTCTACTCAGGCTTTGACAAAGTAGCTACCAATCAATTATCTAACTACTTAGCTTGACCTCAATTCCAGGGATGGAGGTCAAAATAAAAAGGAACTTCATTAGAAAATGTTCTTGCCTCTATCATGATTCATGAAAAGTGAAAACCAATTTCTGATAAACTCTTCTTTTTATTTCAAATGTAGTAATTTGACCCATCAGGAATATTTCAACGAAAACTAACTCAAGCAGAGAAAGCAGAATTTTGTACTCATTTCTCAGAGGGAAAAAGTTTTAAAAAGGGCAATCCTTGTGCAGGAATAAGTGAAACAAGCAAGAAACTTATGAAAACTGAGCCAATGAGTGATTAATTGTTCTTACCTTTGAATAATATATTCATAAAACGGACGGGTTAACATATTATACTACGCATTAAGGAAACGTTTGTGCAACCACTATGCAAAAGAGGCTGTATTGATAATTTAATAGAAGACAGAATTACATACTAAGCCATCTGAAATGTAACCCCTCTACTAAGTTTCTACTAGTCCCTATTAATCAAGAGTCCCTATCAGGTTCTGCAGCAAAAGAAAAATTATTGAGCACGAAATTGTTATTCATGACTATAAATTAGGGAATAATGTTAAATGTGTAAAACAACATAAACCCAGAAAAACGAATAAATACATAAACCCAGTAATACATATAAAAACGAAAAGAAACTCACAATAAATTCCAGTTCCCCTCAAGCAACTCAGGAGATTCCGTTGGAGATGGGGTGGGATTGGCAGCCTCCAGTTGAGAAATGAGCTCCAGAGCCTCGGCCCTTACCTCCCCCGAAGCCCGGAACCCAAATTCAGTACCATAAACCGTGTCCACGAGGCATATCTTCAGGTCCCTAAGCTTATCTTCTTCACCAGGCGGTTCAGGAGTCTCATTCCCCCTGGACTCATCTCCGCCCCACTCATCTTCGTTCCTGGGAGGATCGGAGTCCGAAAATCTCGTGGCAGGCTGGGTCTCAGGCTCCGACTTCTCTCCCCATTCATCCACAAAAGCGGACGTCTTATCATCTGAGAAGTTACCTTTATTGTTAGGTCCGGCGGAAAGAGGGTCTCCAGATGGTTTCCAGTCGGATGGTTCATTTGACGAAGAGTAGGAATGTCGAATCGCTAAGGTTCTTGATCTAGTGTTTAGAGTTGAGGAGAATGGGAGAGAATCGATGGGTTTAATCTCGATTTTCGGGGTTTTGCCGGTAAATAGAACGGAGTAGCAAGGCGCGTGAAGGAGAGACATTGCGCTCTACAACGACGGAATTCGATGCCCAAGCGGCGGCTTTGGCAGACAGATTCAGCCAAAACCCATAGATAATGATGCCACCACCGATTTTCCGATTATATAATGAGCAATTTCCAGTCAGTTCTTGACTTCTGGAATGTAGTTCGGCAAGTTCGGTCAGCCGGTAGGGGTGGCATTCCGGTCCAGGAACTGCGGTCTGAATTCCGACCGGGATCGTGGAGTTTTTCGGTCGGATAGTAAACCTGTTTCAATTCTTTTTTTGATAATCCACATGTCGTGTTTACACTCCCATAATCCTGGAGTTAGAGCTGTCAAACGGGTCACCCCGACCCAACCCAACCCGACCCGTGACGAGTTATGGTCTATGTGGGTTGGGTCGGGCCAACCCGTTTAATGACGGGCCAGAATTTCTACAACCCTAACCCGACCCACCTAACCCGTGGGTTAAACGGGTTGGCCCGTGAGCCAATATGTAAAAAAATATATATATCAAAAAAATTAAAAACAATTACCCGAAAGTATATATTTATATTAGTAAGTAGTAACAAAGGAAATATAAGAAATCAAAATACTAAAAATTCAATACTTGTTAAGTTTAATTAAAAAATATTAAATACTAGTTATACGAGAATTTGAAAACTATAAGTGGGTATGCGACAAAAATACTCATTGTATAAAAATAAAGATCTACATAACCTTTTGATTAATTATTTGTAAATAATGACTACTAATTGTTAAATATTGTATCGAACTTCACATAAAATATATGTTTCAACATTTTATTTGAAAATTTATTATAGAAATAAATATTGTTTTGCCATGGTTGTAATTTTTATTTGTAATTATAATAATATTGGTAGTAAAAGGACAATATTTAAGATAATAAAATTTAAAACTATATTTTTGTATATTGGCCCGCGGGCCAACCCGTAACCTGGTGGGCCAAGCCACTTAAACCCACAACCCGTGTGGGTTGACCCGTGAAACCCGCAAACTAAATGGGTCAGAAATTCGCAACCCTAACCCACCAATAAATGGGTTTAAACGGGCCAGCCCGTGGGTTTCGGCCTATTTTGACGGCTCTACCTGGAGTCTATGAACTACCTCCAAAGCTTATAGACAGTTAAATTCGGATCTGATCACATTCAGCCTCGTCAGTACTGACTCCAAAGGACGAATCCAGCAGGACTTACATCACCTTTCAGGCTGCTACTCCCACCACACGAACCCGCTACCTTCATTACCATCTTCTCCCTTCTTAGCCGCTGAGCAACTCCGTGAAGGTAGGAAGAATCATTGAGAGCAAGACTTCGTTCATCTCCCCTTGGTGGGAATTGAACCCAAGACCTCCCACAAAGGAGAGACTTGGGGGTGGATGATCATCCAATGGACTACACCCACCTTCCCAACCTGTTTCAATTCTTATTTGAACGAATTGAACCCTGAATCGTCTTTATTTGCTGATTGGGAACGTGCCCAATATTCTTTTTTTATACTCCCTTCGGTTCTAAATAAACTTCACACTTTCCATTTTGGGTAGGTCCAAAATAAACTTCACACTTCTTCTCCCTTCCTTATTTGGCAAATTATCTACATCAAAACAGTACAAAACATTGCCAAACAATGTCAAACAGTGTCACAACAGTGGACTCTACAGTAAAGTCAAATTTATTTCCTTAATTTGTGTGAAGTCAAAGTGTGAAGTTTATTTAGGAACGGAGGGAGTATAAGTTTTGACATTTGGTTATGCAACTCTTACATTAGGAATAAGAAATGAGCTTTGAATGTATTATTCTTTGAATATTTATTTAATCATGTTAAAGTGGGGAGTATATTATGAGGTGTTTGGTAGTACCGAAATTAACTCAATCGGGTGATACTTAATTCTATAAATATAAAATGTATATTATATAAAAAACTTATATAAATATAAATTTCTGACTGAAATGACTGAATTAGTTGATTATGCTAATTTATGAAAAACTTAAATTTAAAATATTTTTATAAATAAAATAAAGAAAAAATTGTGTGAAAATATATAAAATGGTCATCTACAGTAACTTTAGCCAATACAAATAAAAAAGTAACTTCAACCTTATATTTTCTTATTATTACATACTTCAGCGCGCGTAATAAAAAATTACATATTTGGTGAAAAATTTGGCTCATGAGTTTGATAAGCCGTAAAACAAAGTCACAAAAGGATCATATGGACAAACCTGAATGCGGAATACAAATGAAATTGTTTGAGATTGTTGTTAAGCCGATAAACGTTTAGTAGTCAGCACTTTTAATTACAATTATCTTTCTAGTAAAAAATAAGAATCTTCTCTAATAAATTGAACGACATAACAAACAGTTAATTTCAATTGATTTAGGGTCATGAAAATGACCAACGGCTCCATGATTATAAGCATGAAATGATCTTTCCATTAACTATAAAATAAAATTTCCTCCTAAGGGCATCACCATCCATGAGATTATTAAGTGATTATTCTAGTGACATGGCATATTATTTTGGCGAGCATGGTTGAGTGAGAGAGATTATTTGACATGATTAATTGATAGAATAATCTTAGATCAAAATATGAAACCGGATTATTTTGAGATTATTTGTGAAGTTAGAGTTAATTAGTTAATAAATGACCCGCAAAAGATTAGATTATTTCGGGGATGATGGTTGAAGGTAATTTAGAGGGGACAAGATTATTTCTAAAACAATTATGTGGCAAATATTAAAAGGTAAGAATCACAAAAAATCAGATTATGTTAGAAGCATGAGTGTGGATGCTCTAAGACCTAAGTTGCTTATTGTTTTTCTATTTTAATCAAACCAATAAAACCTTTGTCACTACATTTTAGCGTCTATTAAATACAGGTGCAATTATGCATAAGAAGTTGATTGTTGTGTTTTTCACACACCGAAAAATGATAATTCTGTTTGAATATATAAGTTTTACTTGTTGATAACAATTATAAACTAAATATAGTATGTTAGCTCGTTGATTCTGAATGAGTAATAGAGAGAGTAAAATTGTTATTGAGCAAAAGGTAGATTTATATTTGAGAAAACGATCAAATAAGCCCCTCAACTATTAAAAAAAATCAATTAAGTTTCTGAGCTAAAACTTCCCTCAATTAAACCCTTAACCTTTTTAAAAACGACCAGATCCTCCTTTTACCCAGTAATCGACCGCTTAGCAACCAAGGTGATGATTTGGCATTTGACGTGGCAGATTTTATACACATAAGCGTTGATTAAGCTAAAAACATTGCATCATACTCTACTTCCCCAACCCTAATGTGCAGACAGAGGCGAGCGTGTGAACTACGGGATAGCTGAAAGAAGGCGAACGAAAAGCTGGAATGGGAAGTCTGGAGCCCATAGTTTATGACATGTGTTCTGTGTTTTTCAGGAAACTTTGGATCCATTATAAGAAAAAAGTTGAATAAGAATATTTATGCCAGCTCTGGGTGGCATGTTGATTTCAATGGAGACGACGGGTATGAGATCAAGAAGGGAAGGCATCAATTCACAGTCACGCTACAAGGCAGATCTTGTAGTTGCAGAAAGTGGGATGTTTCAGGTTGTGTGTTATGAATAGTCCAACCTAAAAGGTTTTTTCTTCTTCTTCTACTAATACTGTTTTTTATTGTTATTTAAGGTATACCTTGTGCACATGCAATTTGTGCCATTTTAGACCAAGGTCACAATCCAGAAGACTTTGTGGATAGGTGCTATTTTAAAGAGATGTATGAGAGAACATACTCTCATACTCTGCAGCCTATTAATGGGGAAATGTTTTGGCCGAGAATTGATTATGAGGAAATCCAACCTCTACCCAAAAAAATTAGTGGAAGGCTAAAGAAGAAAAGAGTACGTGAAGAAAGTGAGCCTTCCTCAGCAAGTCAAATGTCAAGGAAGGGTATAGTTATGTCATGCTCAAAGTGTAAGGAACCTGGTCATAATAGGTTGCGTTGTCCAAATAGCACTGCACCTACTCCAACTACAACAAGCAGAGGAAGAGGAAATGGGAGAGGGAGGGGTAGAGGGAGGGGGGGATAGAGGGAGAGAAACTGAATCAACTACTGATGGACCTATTGGAGGTGAAGCTGGAGTAGGGAGTGGTAGGGGAAGAGGAAGAACGAGGGGGGGAGGAAGAATGAGGGGAACATGGAGGAAGAACACTGCTGATAATGTATCTGGTTTTGGGATTTACATGGACCCACAAACTGGAGCAATTGTCCTTAATGTATGCATTGTGCACCTTTCATGATTTGAGGTCATTTATAAATGTTGATTGATTATTTAACATCATAGTTTCTTTGTTATTGCAGCCTAACCAGCGTGGAGAAACGATGGTGTGTGAAGGGACAAATTGAAGAAGGGAACCACAAGAAGAATAAATTGTTTTTTGGGCACCGGTCAAGTTGACTGTCAGGAGTTGTTTTTTGGGACTTATCAAGCTTAAATGTCAACAATATATATACTACATTGGCCAGTGTAATTTATGAAGTAGCACGTTTTGGGTTTTATGTTCATGTAAACTGTGCTTATGATCCTTTGTAAGGTTATAATGCTTTTTTGTAAACTCTTATGTAAACTATGGTTTGGATGGCACATTCTGGCCAATATTTTGAATGTTAAGATATTTGGGCATAAATACTGGTTCAGTCCTGTATTTTGTATTGTGCAGGGCTGTATTTTGGTTCAGGGCTGGATTTTGGTTGGTTGAGGGCTGCATCAAACTAAATACTATGTACTGCTCTGAAATTGCATCAAACTACTTCCATATGCAAATCATGAAGCAACTATATTTTTATCACTTTCAAAATGGTGCTTCTTGGAATCTCTTCTTTCACCTGAACTACTTACACTCATATCATTTCAATGAACTGGTTCTTGGAATCGCAGTACACTAATCAGTGCATAACAACAAGAGTAAAAAAAAGCATTACTTTCACCTCTGTTCAATCCAATACCAAAAGTAGTCAATACATTTTCATAAATCAGCCTTCACACATACATTTCCAATAAAACAACATTACTTCCTAATGAATGACAAAATCAGCCATCACACATACATGGCTTAGTAAAAAAAACAACCCAAATAAACCTAAACATAAACATAGACCAACTGAATAACAAAACACCCTAAAAAACAAATTCCCCTTCGCCTCTGCTTGTAGGTGCACT